AGATTTCCCATGCTGAAGGATCTTCCCTATACATGATATCAAATGAGTAGCTGAGTTTCAGAGAGATCAACTGACTTCAAGTTCACACAGCTAGTAACTGGGACCTGAACTCAAACTCAAGTCTTTGAACTCCAGTATATATGTTCATCCCCTGCCAACACCCAGAATCCCTATTCCTTCCAGCCACCTTTATGAGCAGAGGTTTGTAAAAGTCTTCCTTTTATCTCTGATTTCCCCTACCATTGCATTTCCTCTTCACCTTGCTGCAAGAATTATCCACTTTCTACCACCCCAGAGATAACATGAAAATCTTTGTTCAAGACAAAGCTGATAGAGGAAATAGACCAAAGTCATTTGTTGGGGCCGGGGTGTGTGTGTGTGTGTGTGTGTGTGTGTGTGGAAGGTAGAGAGAGAGAATGGTCAGGTTTAAAAACCAGGGAGGAGAAATTGCCCCTGCCATGGTTAGAAACAAGGAGGGTCTAGTAGTGGGAGGAAGGCATTAAAAATCATCCCCGTCAAGGCTTAGAAGAAACGATGCTCCTTTTCCTCCATAGGTCCAGGGAGCCACAGTTTATCCTGCAATCTTCACAGCAGCGCCACAGCTATATGCAGAGGAGGAGGACGGCAGCACGATTTTCAAAACTGGTAAGAATCACAGAAGCTCGCTCCATGGAGCATATACAAAAATGAGGACAAAAGACAGGGTAAGTCAATGAGGAACCCAGTCCAGTCCCTCAGCTTCCCCTTCCCACCCACTGGATCACCCCAGGCTTGTCAAAAATTTTGAGTGAGTGTGCCCCCCACACACAAACACAAGATTACACATATGTGTCATCCCATTACCTACATACATATACATCATCTCGCTCATGTAGAAGGACATTTTCACGTAAGTGCATATCTTCCCAACACAGATATATTAACACACATGCCATTTATAAATATACACAGAGACATCACCATGGATGCTGGACACAAAATGTCCCTGACACATATGTCAACCTTTCATACCCAGACACATAAGTATACATGTCAGGCATGCACAATCACATCCTAACACAGCTCAGTCACACAATCCAAGTAACATGGTTTCTGTATCCTCTCTGTAACTCTTTCAATTCCAGATTCTGTCCCAAGGTCTCCAAACCTCACACCTTTGAAATATCACCCCCTCAAAAACAACATCTCCTTTCCATCCCTTTTCCTCACTCCCTCCCTCTGTATGCAGATACATACGCACTACAGGATTAGAGAGATAGCTGGGCTCTATGACATAAGCGTGTATATTCATTAATTCATTTGTTCTTTCCTTTACTTAACAGCATTTACTGAGTCTCTATTATGTTCCAGGTTACCACACTAGACTCTGATGAAACAAAGGATGAGCAATTAAAAAAAAAACAATACACACACACAAAAAAACACCTGAGTCCTTGTTCCAGCTCAGTTACAATGACCTTGAACCACAGCTCAGGATATTGAGTTTAGACCTTGAGGTTCCTAGATGTATATTATGTAGGGGGAGGAGAAAAGAAAAGGACTGTGTCTACACTATCTCCAAGGAAAAAGAAAGTCTTGCCTAAGGACCACCCCCCAAAGAAATGATCAGGCAGAAACCCAGAATAGTACATTCCACCACTTGGTTGAGGAACCAAGAGCCTCCAGCACTCTTCAGACAACTATGTGATGGAGTTGAACCAGATTATACACTCCTATGGAGCAAATACCATGTCCATTTTATTCAACACTGTATCCCCATCATCTAGCACACCACTTGGCTCAGGAGGCACTCAATAAGTGCTTACAAAATAAATGAATGAACTAAAAATGACAAACCAATCTCTGTTCATATTTTTCCTTGATTCACAAAAAACATAGAAAGTGCCCTCTACCACTATCGGACTCCTGGTGTGGCGCTGTGGGATCAGAACTGGACTGCAAACCACAGGGTTGGCAGTTCAAACCCACCAGCTGCTCCTTGGAAACCCTATACAGGATGGCTATGTGAGTCGGAACCCATTCCTTGGTACTTACCACCACCTCTATTAGCCCTCCCCACACTTTCTAAGGCCTGTTCTCAGAAAACGAGTGGACTGACAAGTAAAACCCTTCATCTTAGAGATACAGATGCTGAAAATCATCCTGCCAACCCATTTCCAGACTGCCTTTACTGACCTCTCTCATGCCTGAGTGTTTTAGTAGGCTTAGTTAAGACAATGTTCCTCCTACACAGAGGTGAAATCCCACTGATCTCTCCAGCACGTAATTTTTCTCATCTCCTCCAGATTCTAAATTTATCCTGGCAGGGTCTTAGTGTGGGACACAGAATTCCCAGATATCCTTCCCAACAAGAAATGCCCTAAACAATTATATTATTGGATTTTCCTGAGGTAAAACCACCAGGTCCAGCCTTCCTAAAGAGAGTCTAGATGTCCTAAATTAAAAATTAAAAGCTCAGAGGGGGAAAATAGGATGTCTTGAATAGTGGAATCAAAAAAAAGAAAAATTAAAACTATCTGTGTTTATTTCCATTCAGTGCCCCGTCCTAAGATAATCATGTCTACCCTCCTATTTCCAGACTAAACAACTCCTTTCCTGGCCAATTTAGGAACAGGTGGTCATGGGGGGGCGGGGGGCAGTGAAGGAGTCTTCTATTTTTATTTCTAAAGAAGGAACAATTTTTTGCCCTCTTCAAATATCACCCAATCCTAACAGTTGGAGGAACTTCTCCCTCCTATCCAGCAAAAGTCCTAAATTCTTTTATTCCCTTTTATCTGATTGTCAAAACCTCCCAACATTCATGAAGTACAATCAACTTGTGGTCTACCTGGATATCAAGATCTTTTTCTGCTTTGAGAAAGAGAACTTGGGAATCTCTTTCTGGTGAGCCAAAATCAGGAGATAATACTTTTCTGGATAAGTGCTTGCTTGTACCTAGAATTCTTAAGGATCAGACTACTGGAGTGAGTGAAGACCAGAATAATCAAATCAATAGCATTAGTGATCCTTGTCCACTTTAATTTCATGTAAGGACACCTCAGCTAACACACTCTGTAAGGCAGCTGTTTCTATTCCCTTCTCTCTCCAGGTTGAATGCCTCCTTCTTGGTCTTCTCTCACCACTGAGCATTTCTCACTTTAAAGGAAAAAACAGCAATTCATTTTCAGGAAAGATTTATGGTAAGGTGTGGGAAATAAACTAGTAAAACCCACTTTTTTAGAGTATGGTTACCTGGGATGAAAACAAGGAAAGTAAATGCTGATCTATGAGGGTTATGGGATGCCATCCTGAGATGCCTTAAATTTTCCCACTTCTAGACCCTGAGGTCCCTTCTTTGACTTTCAACTACTTCCTTACTTGCCACTCTCCCCAGCTCAGTTACCATTAACAAAGCATCATTTTCCATCAAGAATAACCCAATGCTCCTCCCAATAAAAATCAATTCAATCCGGTTTTCCATTTCTTCATCCCAGAACTCATTCCAAGGCTGCGCTTCATAGAGGCCATTAAATTACATTGGCTAGAGGCAGTAAGAGGGGAGACTGAGAAACACATTTAGATTCCAAGCTTTGTTGCCAAGTATATCTCAGTGCTCCCTAAGGCCTCTCTAAGCAACTAGTGTATAAGTCAGACACACCTGCCCAATATAAAGGTGTCATTTATATTGCCACAGGTGAAGTATATCAAGAACAACAATCATAAGCATCTATCCATCCCCCTCACCCAATCTCATCTTCCCTGCACCAAAATCCAGAAATGGAAAGCTTTAGTATAACTGGGGAGGGGATAGATTCAGGGGCTAAGTTTGCTGTATTTTCTCACTTAATAGCCATTCTTTCATCTCTTGCCTCTTTCTTGGGGCCAAGGGACATCATCTCAGGGAGAGGGGCACCTTCCTTCACTTTCTGATTAAGGATCAACAGCCTGTGGAAATTACCCAGTGGCAGCAGACTGAGAGATAAACATGCTAGATGACTTTGTCTTTGACCCAATCCTCTCCTTCTCTAAGGAGCAGGAAGAAAAGTTGCCCTCTACCCCACCAGAAAGGAGCCCTGGTAGCGTGGATTACGAGCTAGACTGCTAACGACAAGGTTGGCAGTTCAAATCTACCAACTGCCTTGGAAACCCTATACAGGTTGGAACCCACTCTGTGGCACCCCACCCACCAGACTGGAATATGAAATACTTGCATCCTTCTTTTCCCCCATTTGTTCCTCCCCACATGCCCTGGGCCTACAACATTAAAAAAAAAAAAAAAAAAAAAAAAAATGCCTAACTGTGCTTGGAGCTCTTGGGAGACTCTATATAAGCAAAAAAGGCTTTGATTTAGCCAGCTATCTTGACTGTCAATCTACCTTTCTTTACCCCCACCCCCAGTTCCAGCTCCCAGGTGGTTCCCCATTATTAATATGCAGAGTGAGCTTCCAGGCCTCAGGAGAGAGGAGCATCTTCTCAGGCATGAACTCCCATCCCCAGTCAGTCAGATGCAGGAGGTAGAAACTATCAATCCCAACCAGGATGGATATTACCCACAGGTTGGCACAAGTAGCCCCGTGCACCAGGTCCGCAGCTTTGTGCAGTCATTCTCCACGCATCTGTGACCCAAAGACACTCATGCACATATGTGATGAGTCTCACATTTACACAACTCTGCACACATGGATACGTGTGAGTCAGCCTGGCACCACCTGAATGCTGTCCGTCTGCAGCTCTGCCACACAGCACATACCGTGTCGCCTCTCCACTGCGTGTGTCACTCCGGGGTCCACAGGCACACGGCTAGCGTCGAAACTCCTAAATCCCCTTCAAGCAGCCGGCTTGTACCGCACATGCCTTGCACATGTGGCCTGGCCATGCGTGTCAGGGCCGTGTTTCCTCGCACCTGCCAGTCCGTGTGCCTGAGAGAATTCACCATTCGGCTCCGACTATTCTCCGCTACAAACACACACACACATTGCTCCCTTACGTCCCTTCCCCCCACTCCCTGGTCAGGGACTCACAGAGACCGAAGCTTAATCCACATCTTCTTGCTGGGGGCTGACTTCAGCTCCAGGGGTGACGGGCAATCCGATTCCAGCATCTCGGGAGGGCTGCGCGGGGACAGCTCCATGCTCAGCCTCGGTCTGCAGAACAGAAAGCGGGGACAGGACCAAGCGCCTCAGCCTCGGCCCGTAGTCGGAGACCCTCACTCCCCTCGGGGTCCCTTCCCACCTGCGGCTGGCGTGGACCAGCCAGGCTGGTGTCTCTGGACGCGGCCCAAGCTGACAGAGCTGCAGTTCTGCGGCTTCTCCTCTCTCGGGTCCAGCCGAGCTGTGGGCTCCCAGTCCGAGCTCTCCGCGCCGCCGCTGCCGCTGCCGCTGCCGCCGCTACCACCGCCGCCGCGCGCTGCCAGAGCCGCCTCCTCGCCTCTCTCTCCTCCCTCGGCCAGGTCCTCCCCACCTCCCCGCTCCCCCTCCCTTCTCCTGTGCCCGCCCGCCAGTCTCTCACTCAGCGCAGCCTAGCCTTCCTCTCCCAAACGAACGATTGGAAGGGGGGGGGGGGGGGCGCACACACACACACACTCAGGAGAGAGCCCGATGACGAGCGCACACATTACAGGCTCTGGGTACGAGTGGCTACTGCTTGTGCCCCGCGTGGCTGGGTATGTGAGTGCGTGTTTACAGAGTGCAGGGCAGGCGGCGCACAGGACTTCGGGGTGGGTGGTTGTGTGGGTTCGCTTGGAGTGTGTTTTGAGTTTCAATGCATGTGTGTGCGGTTTCATGTATCCACGTGTGCCTAGCTGCATGTGTCCCATGTGTGAGGGAGGGGTAGGGATGAGCCCAGATCTTTACTTACAGAACCAGAAAACTCTGACTGAGTGAACCCAGTCAGAACTGAGTTTGTCCTTGAAGGGAAAAGTTCAGGGTCAGCTCTGACCTATATGATGGCATCCCACACCTCCCCCTTCTACTCTCCCTATCTGAACATCACTCTAGCCTGCTTCAGGGTACCTCTAACTACTAACCCTAACAGATGGAAATTCCTCGCAAGTTCAAATCTCTCCATATCAGACCTGGCCTACATATGACTCCACACAGTCAAGAAATCGTGCCTGATACTCACCTCCATCACTCCTGCATCTGGGTCCAGCTCATTTCCTCTTAACCACCTCCAGTGAAAGAAATCGACAAGCTAAAGGTCCAGCACAAAACAGCCTAGCTGTTTAATAAATATTTCCTTGTGTAACAACAAATGAACTGGAATTTGAATTTAAAATCTTAAAACAGAGCAAAACTTTTATTCCCCATCCTTCCTAGACTCTTGAAGAAACCACCTCTCTTCCTTAGGATTGCCCTAGTCCTTAATGGCCACTTACTTTGGCATTGGGGAAAAGCCTATGTAAACAGAAGGTGGGATGTACGTACATATTCACTAACTGCTGGGTCCAAAGCAGATCAGTAACACAAGACCCCAGAATGTACATTTTAATTTCAAGAATCTAGAGATCAGAAGGACTCCTCATGTGGCACTGTCGGATTAGCACTGGACTGTGAACCACAAGGTCAGCAGTTCAAATCCACCAGTTACAGAGGGTCCCAGTCCCTATGATTCATAATCAACTCAATGGCACTTAACAGAGATTGTAATTGTAAGGAAGGGTGACTGGAGAAGTTATTTATTCTAAATATCTGGTAGAGGCCCCCCTCTCCTGGCAATGAGTGAAGAAGAAAACAGCTTCTCACTGCTGATACTCTCACCATAAAAGAATTTCCAAGTTATATCAGGCTTTCATATCTGATGAGACAGAAGTATCAACAGAACCAGCTCCCAGGTAGTACAAAGGCAAAAGGGGAAGGCAATCAGACATGGAGGAAAAAAGTAGAAAGATTCCTGGCACTTCCCTTCTCTGTTCATCTAACTTCAGCACACATTCCCCCCTGCCCTTCCTTGCCTCAGAAATAGTACCATCCAAGAAATAGTTACATCGGAGAGACCCTAGTCACACTCCTACACAATCCAATTCTCAAAATTTGGGAGCAATCTCATTTCTTATCAACTGAAAAAGGAATGAGCTGGGTGGACTACAAAAGAATTGCAAATTAGAATTAAAACTAAAAACTCTAATGAGGAAATTAGGGTTAGAGCTAGGCAATGCCCCAATTTCAGCAGGTATTTAAACTAGAAGAGGTAGGAAAGAGGTAGATTACTTACAGAAGGGATCTCTCAATATTTCTTGTCAATGCATCATCACTCCCAACTCCTAACCCATTTTAAGGACAATTTACAAATATATATATATATATATATATTCCTGAAGGAGATTTTTAAGAGTTCATCTAGTCTAATCCCCTTTAGCAAACTGGAAACTAAGCCCATAAAAAAAATCCAGATTCAAGTCTCCTAACCACATTTTTCAATGTCTTTTCTACTATGTGGCTTTCTCATTTAATCACTAATTCTTTAACCTCAATTTTATTCCTCTTATTGCAATCCAGTCTCATTTTTGCCTGCCCCACCTCAAAAGTGGTAAGAACAGATACACCTGTTCCATTCATGGGCTCAACGGACTGTTATTCTTCTCTCCCAGTCTTTTCCTCTTGTCTCCCACTCCCACCTTCTCCAGCATCCCTCTGCCCAATCTCAGTCCTCTCCTTTTCAGCTTCTGAGCTGCCTCTGGGAGACCCTGCCTCCTCACTCCTCTACCCCCATAATGCCTTCCAACAAGTTTTGAGTTTGATAGAGATGAAAAACCATGCTTTGGCAGCAGGTGACGGATGGATGTGATCTGCCTCCTACGGAAATGCTATTTAAAGGGGCGGCCTCGCAATCCTTTCCTTCCAAAATGACTAGAGAAAAAGCCTGCTCCTCAGTGTCTCTAGAGCTGCAAACTCAGCTCAAGTTCACTTCTGACTTCCTCAACCTGCAACCTGGCCTACTGTTCCTGCTTCTTATTCAGGTGGGAGGGAGAGTACTTGACAACTCATTGAGGTGTGGGGGCTGAGGGGGGACTCATCTTCATCTCCTTTGATGACAGGTACTTAGGAGAAGCAGGAGGCCCTGTGGGGAGGAGGACTGGAAGAACAGTCTTCCCCCAACCATGTGAGTGCATTTCAACTATGTGCCAGCTTCTTCTCAAAGTCAAACTTTGTTAGAGAAAAACACAGGCATGAGGAAGTAAAATTAAAGAAATCTTGTCCCTAGCCAAGGCTGCTTGGGTGGTTCCAACAGTTAAGCGCTCAGCTACTAACCAAAAAGTTGGTGTTGCAAGTCCACCCAGAGGTGCTTTAGAAGAAAGGTGAGGTAATGTCCTCAAAAATCACTGGCATTGAAAATTCTATGGGAAACAGCTCACTCTGTAACACATGAGGTTACCATGAATCAAAATAGACTCAAGGCAACTGGTTTGGTTTGATCCCTAACTAGGACTTTGCTCCCTCCTCACAATAAAATCTTCACAGCTCCCACCTGAACCCCAGTCAAATCCCCAATTTGAATGAGCTTGCCCAGCAAGTTGCTAAAGTAGGGGCCTAAAAGTACAGTACTGTTAACTCGTAGTACCCTTGAACTGACTATAACTAATCTCTTCTAATATTGTAGTATGAATGGCAGTTTAATGACAAGGGTTCTAGTCTTGATCTTGCCATTAACTGTGTGAACCTTGATAAGTCATTTTACTTTACTTCTCTGTGCATGTTACTTCTGTATAATAAGGAGATTGGACTATATCTTGAAACTCTCTTCCTGCTCTTAACATCTTACCACTCTGAGACTCTACTAATTCCCAAAAAAGGGAAGGTTGAATTCTGGAGGCAAAGAGAGAAATATTAATTGACCAATTAGTTCAACAGAGACGCTATTGGATTTTGGCCTTCCTGTTGTTAACTGCCCTCAAGTCAGTTCCCACTCATAGCGACCCTACCTATGGTTTCCAAGGAATGGCTGATGGACTTGAACCATCAGCTTTGTGGTTAGCAGTCCAGTGCTTATCCTACACCGTCACACCAGGACTCCTTTGGCCTTCCTACAGCAAATGAATTTGGATAAGCCCCTCCCCCAGATCTGTCAATTAGCCCTGGGTCCAGGGGCTCAAACCAGTTTCTACCTTCCTTGAAAGAACAACATCCCCTTATCCAGGCCCCAGTCCTACTGCATTTTTAAGGTTGCTCTCACCTACCCACTAGACTGGACACCAGTCTGGGATGGTGGTGTCACCTCCCCCCCATGAATCGCCTTCTGTATTAGACCACACAGAATCCTTAGTAACATCTATTTTAATCATAGAAAAGGTAATATAGCTATAAACTGCCTAAATGTAATATTTCTTAGATGATCTGAAAACAATCGTTTTGTAAAATCTTTCTACATTGAACTAAAACATTGTAACTGAGCAGAAGCCTTTGTTTTCCTTTAATTACTACTTCATTCTCAAAGAAGTTATTGATAGAGGTTCACAAATACTAATTATAATATTGTAGCTAGAACACCAGAAAACTTGACACCAGGTGCCACCTTCTTCTCAAACCATGTGAGTCAAAGCATCGTTGTAATTGGATAATGACAGCAGCTTTGACCAGAGTGCATTTGAAGGGTCAAACACTAAATTAGCATGGAGTTTTCGCCTTGAAAGTATCTTGATACATGTAAGCTGGGTTTTTGAAAAATATTTTTGTTATATTTTTTATAAAAAATAAGTTCTGCTGAAATGCTGTACAAAAATATTATAGACAGTCACTTTGGTGTCAACCCCTCTGACAGCATCATACACACACACACACACACACACACACACACATCAATAGGGATCTACTGACACCACTGGCCAGGGAGGCAGTGTTTCTAATGGCCAACAAAGAGATAATGTTGCTCTGCCAGCATCTTGCTGCAGGCCTGGTGGGAGGGATAATTCCATCTCATCGCTGCAAACAAGTTAATGGAGATTTTAATGAAAACACTGTGCTAATGAAAATGCTGAGGCTAGAAGCTACTCTCTGCCTGTAAGACGAAACAATCAAGGTCAGAATTTCTCTCTGATATTCATTCCTCGGGTTTTTGGTGGTTTGGGGGAGGGTTTTGGTGGGAGGGAGCCCGAGTAAAGCTAGTTGGGGACCTGAGAACAGAAAGCAGTTCATAGTTGATTGTGCCTAATGGCAGCAAACTGCCTAAAATACTGATGGGTCACCTGTCTTTCATCTGTCACTCATCTTTTGTTTCAGGTGGTAAAGACCATCAGGACCTCACCTCCTGTCTACTCATTCTACAAGGTCTCTGAATTCTAACAACTAAGATGGAAAGGAAGTGCATTCAGGTAGAAATGGTCTAGGACTTGGATCTCAGTTACAGCTCTAACTGTTAAATATGTGAACTTTGTCAAATCAT